ACTTGAATAATTACATGCACCATAGCTGCCATGTGTCTTGGTACATAATCGGTAACGTCACGCGTGCGCCACGCCACTTCGTTTCAAATTGAAATGACAGTAGTGCCTTACTTTGCTGATTAACAAGCGAACAAATTACATGCGGTGTTAAAGTTGTGAAAGTGTTCAAAAAGAATAGGTGAGATGTTCCATGTAGATGAAATAAGTTGTTAAAAAGCCCGATAAACCTTTGCGTTTTACGATCCATTTTTCATGGGGACAGTGGCTTAAAACAGGTTGCAGGTTGGTATTTTCCAGCGACCAATGTACTTAGACCATAGCACTCGCAGGTTAATCAACGCGGCACTATAGCTACTAGAGCTAAGGAATCTCGGACTTAAGTCTAAGAGTCGAGAGTTGGTAAACACAGCTGAGCTAGCTCTTAGTACTATAGCCCGCGCGATCGACTGTGCAGGCTAAGCACATTCTGACCCATAGTGGTAATCTAAGCAAATGGTCCAGCTCCAACGTCGATGTACAAAAATTATCCCAAAAGTAAAATGATCCGGGGCGTTTTAACACTTAGTCTCATCAACATGGACATCTACACCTATGCCTTTGCGAAGTCACCTTCCACAACTTTATCACCAGAGTATTATTGCTGTTATTCCTCGAACAAGTCTTTAGCACTGAAGAGTCACGCAGTGCACACGATAAGCAGAGCAACCGAATTTGAAAACAAACACCAGTAGTGACTAAGATTTGAGGTAATAACGAGCATATTGTATACCTGTGTGGTAAAGTTGTGGAAGTGTTCAAAAAGATAGGGAGAGTGTCGCATGTTGAATAGATAAAGTGTTAAAAATGCCGATCATTTTATCGGTTTTGGAAAATTTTTTTGTCACATCAGTTGGACCATATTGCTTAATCTACATCTATCGCCCTATTGGCAGAATTTTGGTTCGTAAGCCGTATAGGCAGCCTGCGCAGCATCCGCGGGCTATAGTACGTAGAGCTACAGACTGAGCTTGCTACCAATACCAATAAAGACATCCACAGGGTGAGTGTTGGTTGTTCCATGCGCAAACAGAGATAACCTGTTATCAGTTGCACTGACCAATACGGCGTGCGTCGTGGAAAACTTATGCCCTGTAATCATGAGGAGTTAATTCTGCTTTTCCGTACAAATTATTTCATTACACCTCACTTTTTCATGCCTCCTGGACGAGCAGGTGCCGCCATCTATCGGTCAGTCTTATG